GCTGGTATATGCTACATTGAATTTTAAATGTTGATTGGTGTAGATATTTTTAAAAAATTCAAAATGATTTGTTCTTCTATAGCAAATAAATACACCATAAATCTGAAGTTAAAAATGTAATGAATAAGTAAATACAAAGAAAAACATCATATGTGAATTAAAAATCTATGTACCTGATAGAGATAAGCTGCGGTGATACCTGAGTAGTATCACCACATACACGTATTTATCAAAAAAATTTTAACTTTGATCATAATATAAATGCAAACATATATGCAAACTTTTAACAACTATAAAAGAACATTTATTAGCATCAATTATTTTTAATGTAACAAAGAATGCAGACTACAATGCACGACATTGTTAACAAAAATGAAGTTATGTCAGTCAGTATATATTTATCTAAAGTAGTGAAAAAGAATAAACCATTTAAAAACAAAATTAAAAATTTCTAATGAATATATATTTAGATACCTTAAAATGAAGCATAACACAACACTCTTTTGACAAATTCCAGAGCAAATTTTTAAAATTTTTCTATTCCTTATTATTTTATTCCTTATATCGATTAAATACATATTAAATGCCACATTCAACTAATGTAATTAATACCTTTATTAGATCTCTCTTGATTAACTAAAGAATTTAAATTTTAAATAAACTCTAACTAAATTTTAACAAACAAACAACCAAAATAAATCTTCATATTAATAGTACATTATTAAGTTGATTAATAGATCAAACAATTTAATCTACTCTAATAATCTACTACCTTATTAATAAACTTTAATTTTTTTTCTACGACTCAGTGTAACTATAATATAGATATTTTTAAAGTAAAAAAGAATTTAATATTATAATATATATGATTTTAAAAACCTGAAATTTTAAATCTACCTCGAAGAAAACAGATATATATTGAAAAGTATTTTTATTTCTTTTTAAAAATTTAAAAATGCTTTATAACTTACTTGTTTCGATATTATCACCAACGTCTAAATAGAAAAACAAACAAACATTCAAGTCAACTCATTTGTAAATCTTATAATATATATGATTTAAAAAACCTGAAATTTTAAATCTACCTCGAAGAAAACAGATATATAATAAAAAGTATTTTTATTTCTTTTTAAAAATTTAAAAATGCTTTATAACTTACTTGTTTCATATTATTACCATCGTCTAAATAGAAAAACAAAGATATATGAGTTATATATAAGATTTTAAAATATATATGACTTTAAAAAACTGAAACTTTAAATCTACCTCAAAGAAAACAGATATATATTGAAAAGTATTTTTATTTCTTTTTAAAAATTTAAAAATGCTTTTTAACTTACTTGCTTCAATATTGTCATCATCTAAATAGAAAAACAAACAAACATTTAAGTCGACTTATTCTTAAATCTAGTTTAATTTCTTCAATAATAAAAAAAATTTAATCTTTGAGGATTAAATTCATTTACAAAAATCCGTTTAAACCATTTTAACATTGTAAAGTTAATTTAAAGTTTTAAAAAACTGAAACTTTAATTCTACCTCAAAGAAAACAGATATATATTGAAAAGTATTTTTATTTCTTTTTAAAAATTTAAAAAGGCTTCTAAACTTACTCCCTCCAATATAATTATATAATATATATAGTATATATGATAAATAAACCTCCACAATTTCCTTGGTTTAACAACTCGATTATGATTTATAACAACTCTGTAAACATGAATTTTCTAATAACCTAAATAAATTACAGATAGACAAACATAAACTAACACAATTAAATCCTAAACCAAAATTCATTCATGCAAGACAAATAATTTTATATTTATTGAAGAGCCAGAAACATATTTTTTTTCAAAGAGCTAAAGTATTAACAATATTTAAGACAAATTTTATTTATAACAAAATTTTCAATAAAAATTAAATTAAGATAAATTTATAACAAAATGTTGTCATGGCTTTTATCCCAATAACCAAAACTAAGTGAAAGCATGAAACTACCCATAAATATATTTTAACGCTAGACACAAATTAAGAATTAAAGTAATCTATAACACGAAGCTTTAAATTTAAAATTACAATTTAAAAAAGATTACAATAAATTAATTACTTTTAAATTTAAAAAAAAATTTAGATTACCTATAATTTTAAGCTACTAAACATAATCTACTTAATGTCAACTTAGATATTTTGAACCGGTACCATGAAAGGTTGAAGGGAAATCTGTAAGTAAGCACGCGGTAAAGAAAAGTCTAGAAACTACTTAAAAAAGTGTATTTTGCAGATACAGAACCGTACCGTAACTATAAAACAATACTCGTAACTATGCGCATTAATATTCATAGGCTATTAATTATAGGCGATTAGCGTATTCATATTATCAGATTTATTTTTTTAAAACAGCGGTTATGCAGACTCAGTGGTTTGATGGATGCAAGCAGTACAAAACATATCAAGAAAAAAATTAATAATTAAACTTAAAAACTTTTGTTGTAAAAGCTCTAGCTTCACCAACACCAACACACTTTTATTTACACGTGTTGAAATATAACGCAGTATATTTAAGATTAACGAGAACTTAAGTGTATAGTAGCTAGGTATCGTAAGTACCGAAAACCGAAAAAAATTATAACATTATAACAATATTTTTTGTTGCTATTTTAAAGCTTACTAATATCTTTTTTAAAGAAGATAGTGTATTAACTTTTTAAATTGCGTATATGCTAACCAATATGATATGATTTTTAAAAAAAGGTTTTAACTTTTTTTTTCCTCTAAATCAAACCTTTTCGATAACTTTTTTGTTGTAAAACTGAAAATACAATTACTTTCTGTATTTCAAATACTAGTTTTTAATGTTAAACAAAAATTGTTTAGCTTTTTCTTCTATAGTCCTCGTTTGACAACTTCACTGACATTTTATAAAAATATATAACTTGCATATTAAATGTTTAAAAAAGGTATTTATAAATCAAGTTTCTGTGTGTAGCCGTTTAGAAAGTGATCTTTCTAAACGGCTACACACAGAAATTTTATTGATCCAAAAACGATCCGTATGTTAAATTCGTATGTTAAATCATGTGATAAAAATCTCTAAAAAAATTCGCTTAATTACATAAGTTAAAAAAGCCCCAACTTTTAAGGATTCTGTAAATCAAAAGTTATGAAACAGATTTAAATATTTAATATATTATCTTTTATTAATTTTGTAGATCTACAGGTTTTTAGTAGATCTTCAGGTTAAATTAGTTGTTGTAAATCAAAATAAGCAAAAAAAGCAAAATAAGCTTAAAAATACTTAAATTGATCCTGAATTTATAAAAATATCTAACGTTCCCCTATTTTTGACAATTTTTTAGGCCATTCCCTGATAGCTTAAACTCATTTAAATTTAAATTTTTTTGATAGTTCTTTATTTGATGTGTTAAATCTCACCATTTTTTTTTATAAATGTCTATGGAAAATCTGATTTTTTACGATTTGATCTGAGTATGCCACACTCAATTGTACATGAATGCTTTAGTTACACTGACATGTTTTCATTCACATTGTTTAAAACTTTGTTCATGGTTCCACAGTTAAACGATCCGTTTGTTGAATTTAAGCCTAATATCATCTGATCATATAAGCTCTTTAAACAAAAAAATAATCATCTAATAATAATATAAAGTGCTAAAAAATTTTACAAAAAATGAAAAATTAATTATCTCTTTATTCTCATTTAAAAACGTGCTTATAAGAATCACTTCATATGATGGCTAAATTTTGACGGACCCATAGAGTAACTTTTATATCAATATAAACCTAAAACCGAAATTCGTTTTAGCAAAAAAAATGCTAAAAAACTTTCTTAAGTGCTTTGCATCTAAAAATAGCATCATTAAAACCCCCAAAAATAGCAGTATTAAACTATGGATTAACTTAACTTGTTAAAAGTATGTGTAAGTCTATTCGCACGCACGTGTGAATTGATTTACATATTTTATTACAATCTATTTGCACGTTTAAAAAAAAATTCAATTTAGATTATGAATTTGAAATTTCTCACAAACAAAAAATGTTTATAACTTAAGTCATATTTTTTTAATCAATATTAATAAAAATAAATAAAATTACTTTAACATAATTAAATTTTTATTCAAAAAACAAACAAAAACGTGCCAATAGATAAAATAAACATTAAGAAACACTTCTTTTTTTAATTAAAAGAAAGCAAGCCCAAGCCAAAACCCTTGTCGTTGTATTTATACTACATGGTGCCTATCCTTAGATAAGCACTCAATATGTGTATATACTACGGTGCGCACATCCTTCAAAAGTCAGCCAACGTAAGTACTGCGTTAGTACTATACTGCGCTAAATTAATTTTAAAGTTAAAAACCAATAATAATAAATCTAATTTTTTTTTAATTTCCTTTGAATTCGATGATCTTTACCTTTTTTTAATTAACCCTTAAAGGACGGCGGGGTATTTTACTACCCCAGAAGAGTTTACTTTTAACTGCCACATCAACAAATTTTGTGTATTTGAACTGCCACTTCAGAACATCTTTTATTATCTTTAAAGGAAGTTTTTAGTGTAAAATGTTTTTGTTTTACTAATCAATTGACAATAATATTGTTTGTTGAAAATTTAACTACGTTAAAGACGGTTGGGGTATTTTTATACCCCATGCAAGTTTTCTTATTTTTTAGTTAGTGAATCAATAAATAGCTATATAAATCATGTTTATTTTAACACTTGCTTATGTTTTAGTTATTTTTTAATAGGTATGGGGTATTATTTATCTTTTTTATGAGTAAATTATACCATATATTGATTAAATATATACACTCACTGTAACAACAGTAGTCTGCTCATGTTGCATATATTTTGTTTTTATGTCAAAAATATTTATATTATTGGTACAAAATAATAATGCCTACAATATTTGTTATATATTTTTCACATATTTGGTTTAATAAAGACTGAAATTATTTTTAGAATAAGTATAATTTATATAATGAGTCGCCCAAGAAGTAATGCTGCAGTCGAGGCTAATAATATTATTTTTGGTTTAAATGACTTATCTTCAAGTGATGACTCAGCTGATGAAAACCTTACAGACGATGAAGAAGATATTGTTACAGTTGACGATGAATCAGATGCTATCATCTCTGATCAAAGTGATGAAGAAGGTGTTCAGGAAAATTACATTTTAAACCAAAACATGATTTCAAAGAACGGTGAAGAAATTTGGAGTACTCTTCCATCTGTAAATGCTGCTAAGCCACGTGCACAAAATATTATTCGACAACCAACTGGCCCAACAAGGTTTGCAGCTCAGGTTTGCGGCCAAAGTGTGGATACTGCCTTCAAACTTTTTATAACACCAGAAATGATTAGAATCATTGTCAATTGCATTAATGCTGAAGCTCGTAGAATAAGACTAGAAGGATGGGTTGACACGACAGTAAATGAGCTGGAGCTTGGAGTTCTTCTTCTAGCTGGAGTGTTTCATTCTAAAAATCAAAGCATAAAAGAGCTTTGGAGTAAATTAGATGGCATACCAATATTTTCTACTTCAATGCAAAGAGATCGATTTGTTAACTTGCGACGATGCATTCGATTTGATGAGAGAGAAACAAGAAATCAAAGACGGTTTGAAGACAAATTTGCACCTTTAAGAAATATAATGGAAATGTTTACTACTAAATGTAAGAGCAACTACAATCCAAGTGCATATCTTACTGTTGATGAGCAATTAGTTACATTTAGGGGACGTTGTCCGTTTAAGATATTTATACCTACTAAGCCAGGAAAGTATGGAATGAAGATATGGATATTATGTGATGCTGAAACTTCTTACTGCATAAATTTGCAACCGTATATTGGTAGAGTAAATGGAGTACGTGATGTTGGACAAGGTACACGAGTAGTTCTTGAACTAACTGATCACTTAAATGGAAGTGGTAGACACATAACAGCTGATAATTTTTTTACAAACATTCATCTTGCACGTGCATTGCTAGGACGTAAAATGACATACACTGGCACCATTAAAAAAAATAAAGGAGAAATACCAAAAAAGTTATTGCCAGCCTTACATTGACCAGTTTATTCTAGCATTTTTGGTTTTCAAAATGACTCTACTATTGTTTCTTATGTACCTAAGAAAAACAAAGCAGTAATATTATTATCAACCTTCCATCACGGTAATGACATTGTTATGGACCATAATGAAAAACCGTGTATTATTCTAGATTACAACAAATATAAAGGTGGAGTTGACACATTAGACCAGGTTGTCAGGTGCTATTCGAGTCGCCGAAAAAGTAACCGATGGCCGTTTACAATGTTTTGTAATATTTTGGATATTGCAGCATACAATGCTTTGATTTTATTCTTGTCAATTCACCCAAATTATAAAAATGGAGCTTCTCATAGAAGAAGAGAATTTTTAAAAGAATTATCAAAAAGTCTTATTAAAAAGTTTGATGCAAATGACAATCTTCCACAAATAGTTGCAAATAATAATCTTCGCCAAGTAAATGTACAAAATAACCTATTAAATCAAGGTCAACCAAATCAAGAGCAGCACATAAAAAGGTGCTATATGTGTCCTCGTGTTCAAGACAGAAAAACCCGTCTTCAATGTGCATCATGTAGCCATTCTGTTTGCAAGGCTCATAGCAAAATTGTTTGCAATAGTTACCTTATTTAGGAGTTATATTTTGTTTTTATTTGAATAAATTCTATCAAATATCACTTTTATTTAAAAAAACATTGAGAAAATTTATATTTTTGTTGAAAGTACGCATTTTAAGTTAAAAAGCTCAACATGTTTTCTATAAAAATCTATATTTTTAGTTGGGGTAGTTTAATTTTTCAGCAATAATTAAAACTACGAACAAGTTTATGTAGTTCATATTGTGTTATTCATATGTATTATTACGCGGGTGAAAGCAACTATATTTGTTCATTCAACCACCTGTTGATAACTATTTTAACATCAATGACTATTTAAACGTTAACCGTGTAAATCCTGCGTTACATTATACCCAAATTGATAATTGAAAAAAAAAAAAAAAAATTTTTTTAGGAATATTTTTTGATGAAATATTACATTAAAAGAATCTTTTTAATATATCAACACTAAAGTTGTTAAAAGTATTACTAAATCTGTCTTGTCTAACTTAAGACTTGTCTAACTCTAAATTATTAAAACTTGTCTAACTCTAAATTATTAAAAATGTATTGCTACATTATACTACAAAAACACATTCTTTAAAGCTTCATTGTATTTTTTTGTAAGCAAGATTAATCAAAGTATATGGTTTATTACTTATCTATTATAATTTTTTTTATATAACATTCTTATTTCAGCTTGTTATTTTAATAATAAACACTAAATGCCGATAAAAATTTTTTTTGTTATTTATTTTTTTACCTTATATAATGTCATCTACATTGTTAGAAGATGCACATGGCTAAACACCGAACCACAAATACAAGTTTTGATTATGACGATTTTTAAACCGTACTCGGCAAACTTTTGAATCAAAAAAGATGTGTTTTGAAATTCTTTTAAACGTTCAGATAACGTTTTATTCTGAACCTAATGCGCGCTAGGTATCTAGAGAGACCAATTATACATTTTATAAACTAGACGTCTAACTTGCGAGATTTTATTGGGCGAAAAATGAAGTCACTTTTTTTGTTTATAGTCTGCCATTTGTAAAAAAGGGCAAAAGCCGAATCCAATGTGGGGAATAAAAGTGCGAGTTAAGTTCCCAATAAGTTAAAGATAATTCATAAACACGTTGTAATAGTTATAAATAGGGTTCGGACTGTTGTAATTGTAATTGTAAAAATTAAATAGAATTACACATAGATGTAATTAAAACATTATTTAATGTTATTGTATTGCTGCGATTAAAAACAGTTACAATAACTATTGTATTGTTTTTTTTCTAACAATACATTGAAGTTCTATTGTATTGCTGTGATGTAAAACAATTACAATAACTTTTGTATTGTATTGCTGGAATAAAAAACAATTACAATAACTATTGTGGTGTATTGCATTACTATATCGAAGTCCAATAGCTATTGTATTTTAAAGTATTTAGATTCTTTTCCCACGCATTTATTATTTACAATTAGCAAAAACCTGAGCTGACCCTTAAGTCAGTTCCCGAGAAAACCGAAATATACCTATGAAAACTTATGACCACGGGATTATAAAAATGTAAAAATTTAAATCATCTGTCAACGTCCGAAAAAGAAAATCAATTTAGAAAATTTCCTTTATTGCAGTAATATGTGAAACGACAGCATGCCCAAAGTTTTGCATTTTTACATTATTCATAATGAAATAATACAAGCAACATATATAAAAATACTTTAATTCTACATGACTTGACATGGAAACTCTCTTTTAGAATTCTTTTCTCCTTAAAATATTTTCAAATTTCATGAAACATTTTTTTTTCTAATGCTGTTTATTCTTAAATAATTCCTTGCGTTGGCTAAAGCTCAAATCAAAAATTGTTGCTGTTGAAATCAATAAGGCACATATGAAGCCTTATTCCATATTCTGGATGACATATTGGGCGTTTGTATCTTTCCCAATGTAAATTAAAGCAGTGGTGCATTGCTTCTGTTGTTTGTTTGCTATAAATTCATTTCTTCAAATTGCACATGCAATTTGTTGCCAAAACATGATGATACCACATCAGCAAATTTTCGCAAGGTATCAATTATGGGAAAAACTTGAAAAGCATTGTCCTTTTCAGCAATAGTTTGCAAAAGATCCAGGTTTTTTAACAGCTTATTGCAGTCATTGACTCCAAAGTGACCCCCGTGAAAGGGCTGTTGCTTTATGTGTAAAGCTTGAAGCCAATCATCTGCTTTTGGCCATACATTTTTGAGAATCTTGAAAAGATGATTCACAACACCAAGTAGAAAATGTAACTCCATGGGTGGAATAAGATCTATTAAAGAATAAGCTTTCAATTACATTTCCAAACTTCTTAGCATTTTTGGTGTTTGAACCTGCTGCAGAGAAGGCACGGAATGAATCTTTCAAAAAGCCAAATATTGTTGGAGTCCCACAGTTTGCAAGATTTGAGCTTTCAGCAGTACACCATGTGCATGGATGGGAAGAAGAATGGGCCTGCAGGCCACATAAAATCTTAGCCAATTTCATATCACATCAGATGATAAACTTCACATCCTGGATGTCAAGAAGAAAAAGAATGAGCCTTATATTTGTATAATTTTTTTGAACGCCTTCAACCACAGCCACAAGAAGTTGTCTTTTCATACCAGTATCTTTTGATTTTTGGCATGTGAACAATTGTTTGCTGGGAGGTGAATAATCATTGTGCTGTGGTTCCAATTCGGAAACTCCAAGACAGACTTTTAAAAATCCTCCACCCCCATCAATCCCCATTTTAACTATATGGTTTGAAAATCTTGCGTGACAGAATAAGATCTTCAATTAGGGAGTTCAAGCTTTTACAATGTGCAACCACATGCTTTGAGTTTGTTTTGTCAGAGTTTGTAAATGCCATTGCTGTCTGATTGAAGCTGTCTTCAAGATTTTTGCCAAGATCTTGAAATTTTTTAACTAAGACTTTGATTGTGCTAACATTGTTGATTGTTTGTGCTAGCTTTCTGATACCATTGTTGGACAAGTCTGTATTTATTTGCACCTGAGCAAGATCTTTGGCTGATACAACTGGTAGATCCTTGAAGAGCTGTTTTGCACTTGATGGTCTTAAAATACAACAAAGGTTATCATTTGTTATCCTAAATGAAATGATAGGTAATGTTTGTCCACTCTAGGCTTGTGAAAGTTGAATGGTTCCAAGATGAGAAGCTTCCTTGTTTGTGATTGTTGATGATGCAAAATGCCCTGCAACTTTACCATCATTTGCAGCTAAATATTTCATGTTCTCTCTAAATTTTGCAGATGAGCATTGATTTGGTAGCCCCCTACCAATTAGAGTCAGACATTTTGAGTACCTTCTGTCTGATATTTTTTCTTCTATTTTTGTGGTTTCGAGAGGGTGTTTTTCTGTCAATTTCAAACGGCCAATGCAGCAAATTAAGCATTCACAAGGGTTTTCTCTCGTGGGAATTTTAACATTTATCCTTTTAAACTGAGAGAGCTGTGGCATTTCAACTTGATGACCTTCATAACCTTTTCTCAAGGAAATTCTGGATGTTTCACAAATGCCTTGAGGAACTCTTGTGTCATTAAAATTGATTTGTTGGCTGTAGACAATTCGAACTTTTTCCTCCAAAAACGTAGTGAGATGTCTGTTTGCTTTTTTAAAACACATAAGGCATACAACCTTTTGGTCTCATCATGATTTATTGTCGAATTAGGCATTTTTGCAACTTTTCACAAGAGCCTCAAAAACTTTTACTTAATAGATTTTGCGTCCAGAAAAAGTGCCTTTTCCTGGAATTTTTCATACTTTTTAGTAGTTTAAATTATCATGAAATCTAATATGTTGAATAAATATAATGTTTTATTGTTGATAAATACTGTGAAAAATGCAAAATTTTGGGCATGCTGTCATTTCACATATTTGTGCAACAAAGGAAATTTTCAAAATTGATTTTCTTTCTCGGACGTAGGCAGATGGTTTAAATTTTTATATTTTTGGAATCCCATGATCATAAGCTTTCACAGGTATATCGTGGTTTTCTCGGGAACTGACTTAAGGGTCAACTCAGATTTTTGCTAACTGTGTATTATTTGGACACTAGAAAATTCAGAGGTGCCTATCACGCTCGTTTTTAGAAGTCATTTATATCTATATATATATATATAATATATATATATATATATATATATAATAATGTTTATTCAAAATCATACAAATATATAATTTATAATATGTTTGTAATTTTATAAATATTTACAATGTGAAGAAAAATTTTTGAGTTATTTAAATTTTTTATCTAAACCGATATTAAATCTAAACTTGACTTATTTTTATCATTAAAATTTACCGCTAACGAGTAATAAATTACAGCATTATGAAATAAGGGAACTATTGACCTGGTTAATTATATATTAGACTATCTTAAGATGTGAAATACTTTTATTTTGCAACAATTTTTTCTACATTTTTAGATTACTCATCACCTTTCAGATCGTTCCGTTGAATTTTGTAGATGGGTCATTTTTGAGAAATGAGGCAGTTTAGAATACCAAATAAATATTATTATTGATTTACGTAACATTTATACATCTAGACCCAAAACTACAGTTACTTTATGAACACATACATCCATAAAAGCCTTTATCGAAACAATTGGGTAAGTGCCTAATGTAGTAACAAATAACTTAGTGGAAGAAATAGTAGTCAATGATCATGTATACACGCCATCTCCAGCAGTAAAGGAAGAACAGGTCAGATCAAACTCACTTTTATAGAGCAGTATAAAGTTTACAACTAGGACAGGTGATATTCAGTAAATAAAATAGAAATAGAATCAACAATATATATTAGTTGCACCTTATTTCAAAATCACATATCTCGGAGACTGGACTGTTAAAACATATTAAATTTTAACATTAAAATAATTTTCATTTATTACAATAAAAATAAATTGTTATTGTATTATAAAGATGAATTACAATACAATATATATTGTTATTGTAGTGGGTCATTATAATACCTTTTTTTTCAGATATTGTTATCGTATTATGAAGATGATTTGCAATACAATATTTATTGTTATTGTATTACAGTATTAAAATAAATTGTAAATCACAGCTATTGTTATTGTTTCTAAAAAAAGTTAATATAATAACAATAGTTATTGTTTCTGTTATTGTTTTCATTACAATTACAACAGTCCGAACTCTAGTTATAATATACTTATAAAAGTTTTTTATTTTATTAGGTTTATTAAAAAGTAATATAATTTATAAAAATTCTTCAAACGACGTCTGTCGTCACACTTTTCTTTTGAAAACTTTAACCCCTTGCAATCGGAAATGAATTTAGGAAACAAAAATTTTTGTTTTACAAGTATTCTAATTTCCTTTCAACACTTTTACATATATAGTTTTTATATATAAAATATATTAACTTCATTTTTAAGAAAAGAAAAGTTAAATATTATTTGTTTACAAATTTAACCCGCCATTAAGTAAACAGAGCAAATGCGGCTTCACTTTTCGGATCGAAGTTAGACATCTAGTATATAATATATAATTAAAATTTAACAATACAAAAAACGCAGTTTTATACTAATCGAACACGTAAAAACAATTGAACCATAGAAGTATAAAAAGATGGAAGTTCATCAAGCCGCAAATATCAAAGCAATATCGAGTCTTCTCGGGAGCATGCTTGTAACCGAAAAAAAAACTTTCAGAAAAAGAATTTCACTAGACGAAAAACAACAAAAATTCACTGAAACGATTTTTATTAAAAACATTAAAAAAGAATTATTCAAAGGATACGCAACATAGATTTATCCGTTAGTTATTCAACAATATGGAATTAAATAGAACCACTCTATTTTAAAAGCATATGCTAGTTTAAGCTTCTTTTCTTACTTCGAATGATAACATGGCGTTTTAGTAAAAAGACAACTAAAACATTTTTTAAAAAATTAAAAAAAAAAAAAAATGTTTTTTTAAATTACTAAAGCTTAAATTTTCATTAGTTGTATATCATAATTCCATTCATGCTTGTCATACTCCATTCATTTAATATGAAATTTTTAAAAAACGTTATTTGCCGTTTCATCGTCGCCATTTTTAATGCTTATACTTGAATATTATTGGCGTACCAACAAAGTACTAAACTCTTGAACTTATTAAACTTTTAAAATTACAATTTGCGTCAATGTTTAAAGATTAAGTGTTTAAATACAGTCTTGATGTTGTTTTTTTTGTTTTGTTTTGTTTACGAAACAAAAGGTTACAAGCATAAACGGTGCTTGTAACCTTGTAAACTTTGCTTAAGATCTCCTACTTCTGTTTTTTAGATAAATTTAGCGTTACGTAATTTACAGACGACTCCATAGTCCCAAAGCATCCCCACCGGAATAACTCAGAAAATATTTACGATTGGTTTATGTTACGTGTTTAGAACCTTCTAAACTAAAAAGAATAACACGTGTCAAAAATAGTTTTCATATAGTGAAATTATCTATTAAGAATATCAATTAAAATATTTATGGTTTCACCGTTACAAATAAGTTGTATTATATTATAATAACTTTCCGTAAGAAAGGTGAAACCACTGACAAAAGCATGCGACAGTAAAAATTGACTTAAAAACTTCAAAAAACACGTGCTAAACTCGTGTAAAACAACCCGTAATATACACGTGTTATTGGTTTACACCTGGATTGTGACAATTAGGTGTCTAAACAGATTTTAATTCCGAAAAAAAAAACTAGATGTGCCGGTTGGGGTTTCAATAAAGTTGATTTTCCATCTGTTTAACACCCATTGATTGAACTTCTTGTTTTTAAACTCAATCTGAAAATACATTTTTTATATTGAACTTAACCATTCCCAATCGGCATACCTAGTTATTTTTCGGAATTAAAACCTGTATAGACACTTGCATGTCACAACCAATGGCGTAAACTAAAAACACGTGTATGTTGCAGACAGTTTTACTCGAGTTTGGCGCAAGCTTTTTTAGGTTTTAAACTCAAATTTAAATGTCGCATGGTTTAATCAGTGGTTTCATATATATTACGGCTATTTATTATGATATAATACTATGTTTCCGTAAAGTTAAAACCACTAATTTTATAACTAGTATTTATGGTTAATAGTAATAGTTAATTTCACGGAATGAAAACCATTTTTGTTACATGTTATTTTTTTTACTTTAGGAGGTTTAAAACACGCAACAGAAACCTAGCGTAACTTTTTTCTGAGTTGTGCCGGCTGGGATAATAAAGTTTTATAGCGGAAGTAAGATATTAGACTAAATGAGACTAAATGAATAAATTAATATTTTTTGAATTGAATTTTTGATTTATAGTTAGAATTATAAATTAAAAAATCAATAATTTTTGATAATCAAAAACTGTCTAATTATAAATGATGAATTAATTTAATTAAATGTGATGAAATAACATATTAGTGAATTAACTGCCAAAATTTGTAGTTAAAATATTTTTTAATTTTTATGTGCATATAGCACAGTTTGGAAGCATAAGATTTAATATACCTTGTAGTGCATGCACGTAAATAGTTATTTTCTACGCGCAGACATCCCAGCCAGCACAACTCAGAAAAACGTCTATACAGGTTTTGATTCCAAAAAAGAAAACTAGATGTGCCGGCTTGGATGTGACAAATTAAAAATCAAACCATGTCTATGTAGTTTCTCAATTTTCAACCCTAATGATTATTTTTCATTTTTTGCTTCATTTTAAATGTTGCAGAACATTTAAACTATTCAGCAATACCTCTATTTTTTTATATATATAACTTCTAAAAATATTAATTTCTTTAAATAATAAAGTTTTTTTAACGTTTTAAAATGGAGTTTTATCATCATAGAACTTGATAACACACTTTTTTCACATTATATGGAATGTAAATATATTTGAAAAATGTAAAAACACATTTAATAAGCCAATTAACGTTAAAAGTTAAAATAACATAAAAACAAAACTGATTGTGTATAGACTAGGAACGTGAACTTAGGGGCCAATCATAAGTTTATGAAATTGAAATAGAAGACTAAACTTTAAATAATGAAGCGGTATGTTATGCCCGACCGGTATGTTATGCGGTATGTTATGCCCGGACTTTAAAGCGGTATGTTATGCCCGACCTTTAAAACGGTATGTTATGCCCGGATTTTAAAGATAAATGTAAACAAGTTTCAACAGTTATCCTCAAAGTCTAATCGATACAGATAATAAAAAAAACTGATTTCTGCAAACATCATAGTTTAACTTTTTTTTCATTCAAAGTAATAATTGTAAACATTTTTTATTCAAAATCGTTAAATTTTTTAAAACCAAAAGTCAATTTTAATTAAAAAAGTTTTTATTATTTTTGACTGTTTTCTTGACTTTTTCTTATGAGTAATTTGGTTGTTTTAAACCTTATATTCAAAAAGCATTTTTTAAATAAACCATCCTTCCAATAATATATAAATGGATTCACTAATGCTGACAGCTTTCCAAAAAAAGCGGCCACATGAAGAAGCCACTTTGGTATTTTCAACGAGGTAAAAGCTGAGAAACAACCAACTGTTGCGTATGGTGTCCAGCAGACAACAAATGATAACACCATTATTATAAATGATAAAAATGTCTTTTTTTCTTTCTTTTTATAACGTTTTGTTTCAACATTTTCTTTGCCGTAAGTCACACAAAAATATTTGTACTTTGTATTAATCACGCGAGCTGTAAATAAACAAGATGCCAAAATTGATATAATAGGTATAAAAAATCCAAAGGCCATCAATATGATTAAATAAAGCTTTTCCACACTTGTTTTGGGAGAAAAATTAATAGAACATCTAGAACGCGTATTTTCTACTGTGTACGAGGAAAATCCCAGAAGTGGCAAAACAGCCCAAATGAAACCATAAATCCATGAGGCAATTCCAATTCTTATAAACAGCTTTTTATAGTTAATTTGAGTACTATGAAAACATGTGCCTAGCAACACCATTCTTGAAATAGCCATTGCGGAAAGCATTGCAATTGTTGTAAATGAAGGAAAAGCAATAAAGAAGGCAGACAATTTGCACAACGTTGTAGCTTTTTGCATATTAGCATCAAAAAACAATGCTGGTATGTATCCGGCGATGCTTTGTAATAAGTCACTAGCAGATAAGTTAATACACAAGATAACATAGTTGTTTTTTTTTTGCTTCTTGTATAAAAAATATAAAGAAACGCTATTAGTAATAACAGCAATTGATGTAATTATAAGCAAAGTAGTTTTAACTGCATCCATCGTTTTTTAAACTGCATTGATAGTTTCTAAGCCATATCCATCTTTAAACAGCATATAGCATTAAACTGCGTTTATTAATATTTAAACTGTATTCGCTGCTCTTCAAACTGTAAATACTTTTTGAAATACTTTCAGGATATTAAGTAAAAAGATTATTATTTTAAAATTCTATAAATGTAAATAGTGTTTTGCATACAAAGAATGATACATAATAATCAATAATTATTAAATTACTTTTGTTGTTTAATATTGCTTACATAACTTTAAATATGGAAGTTAATATTATTATTGTATTAAATTTATTATTGCAATCATATTAAGTGAATAACCTAATGTGACTCCCCCCTTATTTTATCTTTGTAAAATTGAACATTTATTTGAAAAAATATTGTGTGCTTTTAAACATTCTATTAAAGCTACAAAAGCAAAATTTTATTATTCTATTCTTAAAATAAAACATGAATAAATTCTTTGTAAAAATTAACTACAGAATATTTAAAACAAATTCTCTTTGTTTTTGTTTTTTTGTTCTTTTTTTTTAAATTGAACTACTAAACTTAACTAATTACAACTCAAACGAGACTAGTCGTCTTGTTTGAGATAAACGTTAACTTTCAATAATGTTTGTTTTGATAATTTTTTAAATGTGTCGTTTAAAAAGCAAAGCTAATAGCGTATTTATCTTTTCTTCTGTTTTTTTTTTTTTTTTTTCAAAATTTTTTATATTTTTTGGTCATTAAGATGCTTTAAGAAGATCTCACAAGTCTTGTCACAGAGCACCATGAAAGTGCATTAAACGAGGAAGTTCATACCGTCTTTCTTACCGGAGTCACGATATGACTAGAGTGGGCATCATGCTTTGGATCATTTGATTCTATTTCAAATCACATTGCGTCACAGCTGCACAACTTTACGTATAAAAGTGATTGATGACATTTTCAATTTTTTTTTATTTGGTTCATTTATTAAAATCCTTAGCTTTGTAATATCGAAATAACTTCATTTTATTAAAATTTACTAATGAATCAAAGTTACAACGCCCGTTTAAAAATGTACTTTATTTTTGTTATTATAGAGAATTAAACTGTTTTAAAGTGTTTGTATTGTAAAACTGTAATTTTATGAAAAATAATCTATTTAATAAAAGCATATTAAATTATTTAATGAAAGTTGCTGTTTAAATCATATTATTTAAAGATAGTATGTACTATTGCGTAATTGCTATTATTTTACTTTATCTTTATATCATAGTAAAGTATTTTCTTTATCTGAATCTTTTAAATTATAAAATATCTATCATTATTCTTGTAATTAGCGTCTATTTAATATTACATAAAATGAATAATTATACATAAAAACTGGCTTATTTTTCCTAGAAAAGCAGTACGTATTAGGTATTGTATTTTAAGGGTAATGGAAACGATATGGACTTAGAATTATTAAAAACCTTCATTGGAGAATATAGTTTTTTTAATATTAGCTGCAGACAAGAAGATTACAAACTTTTTTTGCGTCATGCATGACGTGATTGAAAATGTCGGCGCTACATTGACCCTTAAACCACTTAAAGTTAATCTAAAAATAATTACACGTTTTTTAGGTGCTGTTAGATACTTCAGGTGTAATTGTTTACTTGGATGTTTACCTACTTACTTTTTACTTACGAGTTTATTTAGTCCTAAGTTTTACAAAAGTTTTTTATTTATTTTTATAAACACTCAAGTAAATCGCAACGCTATAAATATCTAAAAAAAAAATTATAAATAAAAAAAAGTATTTGATTATTTACTCAAATGCTCACAAAAATATATGAAGTTGTGAACCTTTTAGAAGAAAAAGTTAATCAAAATTCTCAATAAAAACATAAATCTTAAAGAAAAAATTAAATAAAACAGGCAGAGATTAAACTTAATACTATTACCTCAGGCCCGCAGCAACCGGGGGGTCCTTAAAATTTTTATTGCTACGGACCTGTAATTTAGCCATAAAAACATTTTTTTTTTTTTTTGTATATTATCAATCTTAAATATTTAAATGTAAAAATAGGGGAAAATGGGGTAAGATGGCGAATGAGGCAAGATGGCTTTTCATGTAGCAACTAAACTAAAAAGCTTAAAAATGGGTGAAAACGAAACTGTATTTACATCTTGTATTTTAAAACGCCAATTGGTTTTTTTAATATTACTAACGCAATTTTATATTGATTTTATATTATATTGCAATTTTATATTAATTTTATATTGTATTGCGCAATTTTATATGCGTATGAAATTGTGGTAATAAAAAAAAAAACAAATTAAAAACCAAAAATAACCAAATAAAAAAAACTCAAAATAACCAAGTAAAAAAAGCAAAATAACAAAAAACCAAAAAAGAAAAAATAACCAAATAAAAAAACCAAAATAAATGGTGCTTTTCGGGTATAACTTTTTTATGAATATTTTTTTGCGACGCGTGTTAGTTTTTTGTTTCTTTAGTTAGATTAGTTAGTTATTTTTAAACTTTATAAAATTCGAATCAGAAATCGCAAGATAAGTCATTTTGCCCCGATCACGTGACCAGATAACATTTATTAACTTTTTATTACAAATTTTTCTACTTTCTACGATGCAGGCATTGGATCATTATGATAAAATAGTGACAAAGTACTGTTTCATGGCTTATAGCTTTGGGCTTTAAATAAAGATTTTTATTTTACACTTCAAGTTCATGTTCTAACTTTCCCAAGTTTACTATTCATTCCATGTTTAAATAGTGAAAGGAGTGTAAATTTAAGAGTTCAAATGACGAAAACGCTAACAAACTTTGTTTATTGCTGTACCAATTTTATTACTGTTGCTTTGTTTATAGCTGTACCAATTTTATTACTGTTGCTTTGTTTATAGCTGTACCAATTTTATTACTGTTGCTAACCTTTTTATCGCCTACAATGAAGTATAACATAGAACAGAAATATAATAAAAAAAATTATTTAAAAAAAAAAGTTGAATAATTATGTGTGTTAAGCTAAAATAAATAAATACTTAAAAATAGGTCTTAACTAAAATTTTTATTTTTATTTAAAGTTAAGGAATTAAATCCGACGTTGGCACCAAATATAAATCATAAAAACGGAATAGGTTCAGTCAAAAACGAACTGCCCCCTCCCCTTCCCTGCGCTCTAAGCCAGTCAACTGGCGCCCCCTAAAATATAAGTTTGTCATTGAATAATTCTTTTTGACAATTTGTTTTTATGAAAATATCTTTTATAGTCATAATGCACATAGTCATTTATAACGTTTCAATGCATTTATAACGTTTCAATGCATTTATAACGTTTCAATGCATTTATAACGTTTCAATGCATTTATAACGTTTCAATGCATTTATAACGTTTCAATGCATTTATAACGTTTCAATGCATTTATAACGTTTCAATGCATTTATAACGTTTCAATGCATTTATAACGTTTCAATGCATTTATAACGTTTCAATGCATTTATAACGTTTCAATGCATTTATAACGTTTCAATGCATTTATAACGTTTCAATGCATTTATAACGTTTCAATGGATTTATAACGTTTCAATGCATTTATAACGTTTCAATGGATTTATAACGTTTCAATGCATTTATAACGTTTCAATGCATTTATAACGTTTCAATGCATTTATAACGTTTGGTGTATCAAAACTACAGTGACATTCACAAAACTAAAGTGACTTCCCAAACGGTAAACGGCTTTTATTTTTTAAAGGAGAAAAACAAAAATTATAAATAAACTGATTTCAACATTGTGGAGCAACTTAGACTTGTTATTATGTATTAAAAATGTTTTCGGTAAAAAACCATATGGAACTCCCTCCCCACTATAATCGCTTATTCGCTATTTTGAAAGATGGTATGCATAAATACCTTTAACAATGACAAGTGGACAGCTAATGAAAGACGTACATCCATTCTTAATAGAGAAATAAATGACATTACGTTTTCCTGACTTTTTTATACTCTACAAAATTGACTCAACTCATCCTTTTACATCTCCTTATGATGAAAGAAGTTTCATTCTACTGAAAGACTATCAAAAGTTATCTGTGATCAACAATAATAAAACAATGTCTTTTTGGATTGACGTTAATTTAATCAAATGTGAACTTGCTGAGAACTTAGACTTTGAATTATCAATAAATCAATTTACTTCAACACAGCGGATACAGACCTCCTTAAGACGTCTATACAACGCTTTATAATCGTTAGAAGTCCGTAAGATGTTCTTAGGAAAACTTAAAATTTGCATAAACTACCAAGAAAATAAGTTTTTTTCTAAATGCTTGCTTTTAATAATATATATAGTGCAAATATGTTTTTAAATAACCAAACAATATCAACAATTTTTTTAAACGATAACTGTTAATCAACGTGTAAGGTGGATTTATAAATTATTTGAATTCGTAAATTTGTAATTTGCAGTCAGCGTTTTATACCCAAACAAAAGCTTTTTTAGTTTAGTTTATTTGCCGTTTAAAAATGTTTATAACGTACAAAAATATAAAAAAGTATTCAAAGGGCGGGAGCAAGAAGAAGGCATTAGCTTTGTCACGGAGCCCCAATAAAAACGTTTCTAAATATCCTTATCCGTTAAGAAACAAAAGTTTAAAAATCTTAAATCTAAAGTTAAGGGAGTTAAATTATATAATTTAACGGAGTGTCTATTTGCACGTTTTTCAATTGCGAATAGACTATATTTAATTAGAGTCTATTCGCAGTTTAATTAAAAAAAGGTAAAAATCATCGAATTTAAAAGGAATTTAAAAAAATTAGATTTATTGTTATTGGTTTTTAACTTTAAAATTAAACTAGCGCAGTGGAGTACTAACGCAGTACTTACGTTGGCTGACTTTTTGAAGGATATGCGCACCGTAGTGTATATACATATTGACTGCTTATCTAGGGATAGGCAAAATGTAATATAAATACAATGACGAGGGTTTTGCCTAGGGCAGGCAATCTTTTATTTAAAAAAAAGAAGTATGTTTTTAATGTTTATTTTACCTATTGGCACATTTTTGTTTGTTTTTTGAATAAAAATTTTATTATGCTTAAGTAGTTTTATTTATTTTTATTTTAACTGATTAAAAAAATTAAATTGCTTTCAAAATATATGACTAAAGTTGTTAACATTTTTTGTTTGTGAGAGATTTCATATTAAAAATCT